TATTAAGTTAAGAAAAAAATAAATAGTCTTACTTACAAGATTAAGAATTAACGATGGTCGAACAAATTGCGGCTCGACATTAATTAAAGTTGAAAAAAAAATGATAAATGTTCGATATATATCTTCATCGAGGACCTATTGCACATTATTTTAAAATGCAAGAGATATAAATATAGGAAGAAATACCCCCTCATACAAAACAATAGCACTTTCCTCCAAGATCTAGCTGATCTATATAGGGATACACTTAAGGCATTTTGCAAATTTATTGAAGAATCCAAAATAGATGTTTAAAAATAGATAAATAATAATAATGTACATCTATATCTCTATTATATTTTGATATAGCAATAGAGACAGTATAGGACTTCTATGGGAGTTTTGGTCTGACTAGATAAGAGAAAAAAAAAAAAAATATATATATATATGAATTTGTTTATAAACGAATCGTCTTTCAAGACAAGAATGTGCTCTTTATTTAGTGTTAGAGGTTAGATCTGCATAAACTAAGTTTTCATTTAACGGAATTGACATGAAAAAACAGTATGTTTTGTAATATTTATTGAATTAAAAATTATTTTCAACTGCTTTATGCTTTGCAAATATTGTTCTATTTCCTTGTATGTCACATGTTCGTATAATTTACAAATATACACTGTTAATTGAGTAAAAATATAATAATTCTTACTTTGTGTAAATAAATTTCCGTTTTCTTAAGTCTGTAGTTCGTAAAGGAATGAAGAAGCTTAGCTTAGCATTTTCCCGAGAGGATGCACATAACGTGTGAATGATTTATTACAGCATATGTGGAGTGGTGGTTTATTATCCGTGTTAAATTAATTAATTCGGCGGGCTATTTAGGGGCTTTGATACTAGGCCCTGGGGGTAAGTCGAGGCTTTGGGTTGGTTGACTTAGTAGCGTTTTAGCGGGGGATTAAGGTGAAGTTATGTTGGAGGTGTGCTTTGCCTAAGATTGAGGATCTCCTCCTCCGAGCAACTCTTATTAAAAAACTCGAAAGGCGGGAGATACTCCATTGTGCTAGCGCCCTCTTCGTCACCTTCTCTTTTAATATAATCTCGTAACACTTAAGAGTGGATTTAGGGAACGCCTCTGAGATAGGTAGAAAGAAGGTCTGCTATTGGATAAGGTAGTCAACTTAAAATTATTTAATAAATTATTACAATTAATTATTGTAGTTTATTTTTTTAGTCTTCCCCTTCTTCGTCTTGACGGCGATACGGGGTAATCCATGGCTTGGGAGTGACGACGGGGAATTGATTCAGAGTTAAAAGGTTCCCTCCCGCTCGAGCACCAGGATAAGAACTGGAGATTATTTTATACCTTTAAACTTCGGTCTATTATCTAGTTGCCAGGCAACGTGCGGTCATATGCCATATGTACTAATGATTTTTTAATTTGTATTTTTAAATTTTATTGAAGTGAAAACTTATTTAGGCTCGTTTTGCACTTTTTTGTGGAGAGTGAATTAGATTGAGCGGTCAGATCTCCCATGTGTAACGCTTGGGTGAATTCGGCTAGGGTCGACTAATTGAGGTGTTTTTTCATATGGATTAAAATATCTCTGAAACTAAGAATCGAACCTTCATACTATAAGCGGAGAAAATGTTCACCATTTCATCCTCTTTATATTGGGCTATTATTCAAAATTCTATCTTAACGCTACGCCGTGTTATGGAGACGAAAAGGGAAAAAATAGTGTCGAAAACTAAATTATAATGAGTTTTATTGAAGATATGGATTAGAATATCTTTAAAACTAGAACTCGGACCTGCAAGCGAGGGAATTGTTCAGCATTTCATCCTCTCTGTAATAGGCTATTATTCAAAAATATATCTTAACGTGACGCCGTTGGAGAGGCGAATAAAATAAATATTTATAATGAAATTAAAAATTTATAATGAGCTATTATTTATAATTTGTATTAATCATTAGTCTCGCCTTGTTGATATATTAACTTTTATCGTGTGGTCTAAATCACACACCTTAGTTTTTGTTTTAGTGAATTATTTCTCCCCAACCAACTGATATTATTTTCAAGTATTAGAGATAAAATATCATTAGAGATAAAATACATACGGGTGATACTGGATATTAAATTCGAAGCAATATAAAAAAAAAACTGTTTTGATTCTGCCGCCGAACATGAATCATTATTGGTCACAGTTTTACGACTCGTTAGACGTATAGACTTGTGTGTTGATAGATTTTTCGTGATAGCTAATAAAGATAATTTATCTTTTTAAAAGACTGCACGTACATTTATATTGTTCTTATTATCAACCTGGCTGCTTGGATATTTTCATTTATAATATGAAAGGGAGACTTTATTTTAGCTATTATACAAACTGATACATCATAAAAAATTATAACTGTTAAAATGCCTCTAATATTGTAGATTGTAAAATGTTGAATATTACGTCATTTATGTTAAATTATTATTAATAAACATCATTATTCTATTACAAATATTTCGTTGACCTAATTTTTTTTTTAAAAGACACCTGAAGAATCTAGACAAGTCAAGTGTTTAGATGAAAAGGATAGACACTCTGTGTATAACTAATAACAATAAAATGGTTAAAAATAAAAAGAATCAGATGACTGATTACATAAACAAAATAAACATGAAAAGCTAGAGTGAGAAAATATACATAATGGATGAAATAAGTAAAAATACTGATCCATGTGTTTACAGTTAGAGGATCAAAGATACTATGATCGTGTTTATTGCCTACGCTTCAACCTAATCCTGCAGGCCACTTTCTGGACTGTGAATAACAACAGAGTTACCGGTTACATATAAATTATAAGAGTTAATGATCATAGAACCAGCGAAGCTGAATAACCTTTTGGTCTAAAAATGCAGATTGAATTAATATTGTGGAACTACGAGGTAACTGCAAATCATATACTTTCATAGGACGAGAAAAATTTATTTTAAATATTTTTTAATGTTAAAAATATTGTCTATAGTAAATTTAAAAATATATAATAGATGATAACTTTACTGTAGTTGTGATTCAAGAAGTACATATTTAATTGACATATTTCTACAATCTTTCGTAGTATTTTCATTTTTTTTTTTATTAGTGAAAAAATAATTCATTTTTTAATTTATTATTGATTTTAAACAATTGTAATTAACTCCTCTGTACTATTAATTAAATTACCACGAAGGGGAATGGATATATGATAATAGATGAATAATCCAGTAACCGAGTTAGAGTTGACTAAAGTAACTTTGGCCAAAACAAGGTCCCAACGAGGCTGCCAATTATCGGATAGTTGATATTGCCCCGCTGATCAGGTTTTGCCTCCCAATAGCCAGCTAATGAACGGTTTCTCATAATCAGAGTTGGCTATGGTTCCCTTGTATGTTGCAGTGTTGACATCTTGGAACATTTATTTGATCTAGTGTGGATCCCGACGTGTACTAATGTTTTGCGAACATGATAACGAATATAGAATGGAGATAACAGTTCATTTATATTTTAGAATATTTTGATAGTTGTGGTAAAATCAGGACTTCTTCCAGCTTCCGGAAAGATTAAGTGTTTTTTTTACAAATCACTAATTTTATCAAATAACTCATACAATTTTTTCACATTATGTTCGCTTATTTCTGTTTGTTGTGAAATTCTTAATTTAAAAATATTAAAAAATTCACCTTGCATCATATCCTGGTTTGACGAATATAGGGACACCGAACTCATCAAAATCAGAGATTTACTGCGCTGCTAGAAGACTCAAAGCGGAAGCTGTAATTTAAAAGGAAAACAGAAATTTTCATTTTTCCTTGAACAACGTCATAACAAAATTTCTATTTTTAATTGTACGTAAAAAAAGAGTTGATGAAACAAGATTAAGGATGTGAACAAAACATGTAAAAAATATTCCACACACAAAGCCTTGAGTATCAACTCGTCAGGATATGACCAATTCAGGCTTAATACTACAAAATCATTCATGTGCAGACAAGGTACTACTACAACAGAATGGTCTCGATAATTCGAACACGTAGATCGCTTGGCCTGTTCTGGTTATCAAAATGGTGGAAAAATTGCACAGGGTAACGAAAATATATATATTTATCAGTTAAAGATTAATTACGTTGCAAACAAAAACATAATTTCTGAATATGATAATATGATGTGCGTTGAGTCTCTGACTTAGCTCCTAAAGAATGCACCTGATCTCGAAAATTTCTTCAAAGTACCAGGCTTTTATAGTGGACGTTTTATCCATTCATCCCTTCAGGCAAGGATTAAATCCTTTTGCGACGATGATTTGTCTATAATGAAAAATAAAATGGGTGTAAATGTTCCAGTAAAATAAAAAGTATATGTCATATCTGCTATTGAAATTATTAATCTAACCTTAATGGAACTAAAATCTGCTTTGTTATTCCTCTTAAAAAATTATTAAAGAAAAACTTTGCCTTCTGATATATTTCCGAAAATTGCACACTCTTATGATGTCTGCTGCGAAGTTTTAATTTTTTCCGTTTTGACACCACATTACTCTTTGATACTGTATCAAACTTTTGTTTTTTAAGTTTAGCCTTTATTCTTTTCTAGTTATAGATGATATTTTTTAGTAGGGAATACTTGAATGAAGAGAAATTTATTGCGTCACTGACAATTTATTTGAATGTCTTTCAGGCAAATTGGACAAATAATTAGGCAATAGGAACTTACAGCTGACCGCAGTGTCTCCCAAGAACACCTTAATGTCTAGATTTATTTACCTCTTGTTTGTAACTGGCTCCTTAACACCTTTATAATGTCGCAGCTCTGGCAGATAATTGCTTAAATGGAGAACTTAAAATGAAAATTGTCATCGCTTTATCTTTTGCTTTACTTTGTGATTTTTAACCATTCCTCTGCATTGCCTCTAAAGCTCTGAATACTCAACCAAGATTCAAAACCAAGGAATCGCCCAAGGCTTGGAACATCTAGAACTTTTTCATAAGTTGCGGTTATCCTCTGGCGATATTTTTTTTTTCGTCATCTCTTGGGATTGCCACCCGCGGGACTAAGAAGCCGGCGGTGATATGAAGGCGCGGTGCGGTCGATACGAACCTGTGACCCACTTCCTCGCTGGAATCTGCCTTGGCCATCTCCAGGCGGACACTGTCTTCGGCAGGGATGGTCTCCTGGAGGATTAAGGAATCCCTTATGTTGGGCCTTGCAACAGATTTAATATAAAGCCAAATTGTTTCTTTAAAGCTGTGGAAGTCACATCATTTTGGTTTTAGATCCTTTTGAACTGGAGGCTCCTCTCTGTTTTTTTTTTGTTTTTTTCAAAACTATATAATATAAAAATACAAATAGAAAAAATGAATGGAATGGCTTTTTTTTATTTTTTTTTTTTTATAATCTACAACTTTGAAAGTTGAGTGTTCCAAAATATTCTACATTCATGTATTAAATAATCGGAATTTCTAATAGACAATAATAAATGGTTGAATCATACAAACGCATATTACAGAATCTCTTGTCAAATATAGTAAACATTTTTGAGTGTATCTATATTAGCACTTTTTATGTGTAGCTATGATTTTAATTAGCAATCGCTAATTACGAACTGTGTTGGCACAGTCCTGTAGTTTTATCTTACAATGGATTCGGTACCTGTAATCGAATCCATTGTAAGATTGGAACTTACGAAATCAAAAAGACTGGATCACCAAATGGAAATGGTTTCATTAAACTTTGTCCTTTAGTTACATCTGTGGTATGTTAACACATAATTAAAGTATGCATATTACGATGTAAAAAAATCACACTAATCTTTTATTGGCCCAGTGTGATATATTTGTGTGTGTGAAAAATTTAAATAACATTATGTAATATTTATGTTTCTTAAATTTTACCTCCAGTATCCCTCCCTTAGTCAAACCACCTTCCTCCCTCCATCTCCTGAAGTTGACTGAGACGTCCATTATAATTCTGTCGGGAGGTCGTTATCCATTATGAAGGGGCTGGTGGATCGGTCTGGTGGTCTGCCAACATCTGGATTAAATATCTTCCCTGCTCTATTATACTTCCTCAGGTCAAGGCGACTTCACAATTTATTTTCTCCTTTTCCCTCGACTGATTGTTTCGGTAAATTAAGAATTACCATTTTTCCTTTAGTGTAATATGATGTTTTAAGTGACATTACTGGACTTGCATCCAAATTTAAATGATCGTACTGATCCTCCACATCTACGAAAGGTACCAAAAGAATAGTTTATATTACACCTATAGTATATAAATATATATGTATATTATATGTATAGTATCTTATATCATCCATACTTCTATAGTAGAAGTCAGGATAAGAGATGGTTTTAGGAAGATTATCCCCTCTCCCTTATTAAATATTTTTCGGTTACTCAATATTATAGTCTATACCAAGGACAACAACCTTTTGATTAGGCGTGCTACAAATGTACACCATCTTATTTATATTATGATAATTTCACAATAGTTATTATATATAGTATGAGCGCTTCATACTGCTTAATTACTTTTAAACTGAGAACTGTTTACACTTTTTTTTTAAATATTGATAATATAGCTACATTATGGAAACAGTTAATTAGTATAAAAAAGTATTACTTACTAAAGCTTATGAGCTGATATAGTATTTGTGTTACGTATATCAAACATATCGAATCTCTAATTCTCTTTCATCATTATGTTTTTTTATATTCGGCAGAAGTAATTAGTAAAAAATTAGAAAAATATTGACCGACCGCACTCCCATCCTGCTATACGTTCCTTAATTTGGTTTACTCCTGGTTTAGGGGAAGCTGAATACCTCACCCATCTAACATTCTATATTCTAATAGCTGTTGCCGTTTTGTGGGACAGATTGTATCATTTCATTTAATGAAAAAAAAGGAAAAGAAAAACCCTTTGGGAAATGGTTTTAACGCGGATGTGGGAAAATTCTTCCTCAAGGTTACCCGCCTATTATTCTGTCTTTCACTATAGTTGAAAATCAGCTTCTTATTTCCTTCGGCTAAACGGTTATATGTACTACCGAAAATATGAGATTTTCTTTTCTTTTCACCCAATAGCTATGTATATAAATTTGTCTTGTTATTATATTATGTGATATATATATTTATATTAGTGTATTATATAATCACTTATGTGTTATTAAGTATTATATAGACAGGGAGAAGTCAGGGAATTTTTTAGTACTTAAATATTTTTTTTTTAAATTTGATATAAATATACAGCGGATGTCGTTTATAATTACCTTGAAGGGGTAAACTTTGTCGTTATCAACGACCACGATCGCTACATTCACCCACAATTAACTGTCAATAACGACGCTGGTCGTTATATTGAAATCAAATAAGAGGAATGAATAACATTTAAGCAAAATGAACTTAAAACAGTGTTTTTTAAAAAAAAAAGAAAAACATACCAATACTATTTACTATTTTAATATATACATCTATGTCAAGATCTGGCTGACAAGCACTCATTCATTCGACCCGTGATGCTTCTTAAAAGGACCTTTATTACTAAGAAATATCACAGTTAGTCTCAGATAGATAACTATTATGCTTTTTATGGTAATAAAAAAACAAGATTAGTTATGAGAAACTACATAAATATTAAAATCCCCCGCTCACTTTATTTTATTATAGAGAAAGTGAGAGCTTTATATGTATCAATTTTTTTCCCCTCTCAGTTTTTGAAAGTGAAACAAAAGCGTCAAAAATCAATTACTAAAAGTTTAGTTTTTTAAATTAAAAAATCCTGATCAAGCATAAAAATTGCTTCCTCCAAAAAATTATATTTCGTATTTAAATGTCTGATTTTTTTGTTTACTCAAACCATTTTGTTAACAATTTTCTTTCATGTATAATAAATAAATTTAGTTAGAAAATATACAATTTTTAATATTTATTTCATCGGTCATATTTATCAGCAAAAATTCTAGGAATTTTACTGTCTGGTTGCCACCCTGTTTACACGTACTGATCTCTTGATCAAACGCTCAAAAATAATTTTGACCCTTTTTTTCGTGCTTAGAGATGAAAAGTAGCTTATATTTAATTATAATTAATTAACTTCCGTTTAATTTAATTACTGTTTTACATTATTAAACAGGATTGTTCAAATTATTCGGATCCCGAGCAGGCCCGGTGAGGAGTGTCATGGAGCAGTTCGTGCCCGGAAAACTAATTATGTTTATTGCAATTTGTTTAATGCTGCCCCGCTGATAGGTAGAGCGACCTAATTCCGCCAGCATTTGCCTAACTTATACTCACCCTAATGGGCAAGCCTGATACAATGATGATAGTATCAAATGCCGATCATCAGCCATCATTATCGAATTATCTTCAAGTGGTATTATTCCGGAATTAAGAATGAAAATGGAAAACGTTATCGGCATTATTACCTTCCCTTATCTTCCTTTGCAATTAGCAATAATTTACCGCTATTTCGCATTCGGGAACTTAAAAGAGTGTGTTTATTATTGCGTGTTTGTATTGTTGTGACTTTGATAAGATGTACTTGGTTGAGTCTTATTTATTGCTGATACATTAAACGAGTAGCAGCATTGAAACTTCTATTCTGCGGTACAGACCCCTTTTTATTAATTATTGATAACATCTGTCTAAAACTTCGTGAACGACCTCATCTTATCGTAAACTACAACTTTATTAGTTACGAAAATTCTCGGGAATGGGACATTTTCAATCTCGAGATTGGTAAACTATTTAATGAGGTACTAAAAACTCATGAAAATCCATTTGCTCTCCACTTGAATCGTAAGATAATATGGCCCTTTGGCCCAAATATTTTTGTTGGACACGTTTTTTCTTAATTTGTGATCAAATTATCTTACGATACAAAGTAAAGCAAGTGGCTATTCATGACTTTTATTACCCCTCCCAATTAATTAATTTTCTGAAAAAAACGTCCGATCTCTGAGTATTTTTGTATATAAACAAGTTTTAGGTTATGAAAATATGAAGACATTCACGAAATTTTATATGGATATTAATACTTTGATAAAAAGAGGTCTGTACTTCGGGCTATTTCAAATACTATGGAACAACTTAGTCTGGTGAGGATAACTAACTAGCTACATACAATTATTTAACCAGGATTACAGATTTTTATTCAGTCAAAAATAAAAATAAATGAAGTGTAAGGACGCTTACGTAACCTAGAGTGATGAATATCCTGTTGTGAACAGTCACATCTCTTTGAACGGACTGTGTTTAGGAAATATATATTTTAATTAACAATGAAATAGACCTAATACAATTTTTCTAGGCTATATTTGCCTTTTAAACTTAGGTTGGATTAATAATTTTGTGCTTATCTCTATTGAAACGCGTTTGGTAACAGCTCCAGTGTATTAAAATGATTAATGGTTCTTATTGATGCTTAAATATTTACTATCTCTTGTCTGCGTTAACCTTGATAAAACTTATGTATTGATTCTGCTATCTTCAATTTCCAATAATCTTCTATCTTGGTCCACAACGCGAAGGACATGCTGGACAGTGGAATATCTTGAGCTGAATCCAAACTGATGGGAAGGGAAGGGATACTGTGATATTCGAGTAAGGGTAGGATGCGTTTGAGAAGGATTTTCTCAAAGATTTTGGAAATGATCGGGAGTAAGCTTATCGATCTATAGTATAATTAACAGGATTACCTGGTTTAGGAAAGAGGATAATTACGGAGTGTTTCCACACTAGAGGAAAGTGGGTTGTACGGAGGATGCAGTTGAATGGGTATGTAAGGAATATAATATTTTTTTGGGGGGGGAGTTGTCTGAGGATCTGGGAAGTTACGCTCTAACTCTAAAATTTTAACTTAAGATAAAGCTGACCTTTAATACTATTCTTTAATTACATATTCACTCAATAACTTACATAACAGCCCATAAACCAATATAGACGGATTATTGAAAAACAAATTTGTATTTCTCCAAGTATCTTTTTTCTCGAAAAGAACTATTTATTTATATATTAATAATTGATTTTTAGTGATGAAATACAAAGCGATAATACGTAGGTGCTATACAAAAGCAACTATCTGAAAATGTCTCAAACTGCGAAAATTTGATTTGAAATTATGGTTTGAGATGTAAAGTGGTTTATTTCTTGTTTAAATTTAGTTTTCTTTACTAAAATTACTTTATTTATGTAATAAACTTTGCAGATTAAGCCACTTTTGCATTGGACTGACAAAATCTTAACACTCGGGTGTTATTCAAAGCCGTTCTTAACTTCGCTTGTTAATTCTACTTCAAGTTCCATATAAAATTTGATTGCAGATATGTTTTTTCTTCTTCTCTTAAATACTCATGGTAAAACGGCGTTGAAGTATCGATTGAGCATCGATTAAGTAAGGAGGTAATAAGACTTAATGTGCCACCTGTGCATAGTGGGTTTTATGAAAAAATCATATTTTGGAAAAACGCAATTGAAAGTTTTGGAATTGCAAGTTTGCAATTGAAGGTGCAAGTTCAATCTTCGAGTTACTACCCATAATTCACAAAGGAATATTCACCTCTGTAATGCTACATAACTTAGCTCATTATACACAAAGAAAGAAAGAAAAATTTGGTTTCTGGTGATACTCATAAAAATTCACAAAATCGCACTTAACTTAATTCATAGGTTCCACTGGTTTCAATTAAAAAAGTCATAATCGTTTTATAGAAACGTGTCAGCATAGACGGAAGGGGGAGGAGAGGGACTTTCGTGTATAAAGGCATCCCAAAATCGTAAAATATCTTATGAATAAAATATCTTATAATAAAATGTCTTATAAAAAATATTTAAAAAATATCTCTTAAAGTATTATATTTCGTGTAATTACATTTAATACGACTTCAAGAATCACTTATACACCATTTCATATAGTTTCTTTCTTTTTATTCCAAAGGAAAATAATTATCGCTATATATGTA